CAGAGGCGCTACGCCGCGCAGGCCGCCGCCACGAGAGCTAAGGTGGCTGAGGTGGATAGGGCGCTCCGTGAGAGGCAGGCGGCGCTCATTGATGAGCGTGACCAGTACTACGCGGAGGCGCATAGTTTCTCCGAAGATCTGAAGAGGGCCTCCAAGGCCAAGGAGCAGTGTCAAAGGGAGTTGAAGGCGGCCACTGCTGAGGCGGAGCGCCTCAAGAAGGACCTCTCCGATTTCCCCAAGTCGGCGGCCGGGAAGAACCTCCAGGCGGACACCGTAATCGACACGGTGAAGATCCTTCGTGACAAGTTCAACAAGGACGTTCCTGAGGTGGAGTTCGACCCCATGGTGATGATCATGCACATCCTCAAGTTCATGGATAGTGGCCGCAAGGCCAGCGATCTGGCGCCTATTGTGGGGTTGGACGTCCCCCCGCCGCATGAGGAGGAGGAAGGCGCCGAGAGTGGTGAAGAGGAGGAGGAGGAGGAAGAAGGTGCTGGTGATGAGGAAGGCGCCGCTGGAGAGGGGCGCTCCCCTAGTCAGCAGGGGACGCCAGAGGGTGCGGTGCAGAGTGAGGAAGAGTGACAGGGCGCTCTCCTGTTTTTAGTTTCTGCTTGTCTTATTTTCCTTAGATTATTTGCCATGTACTTGAACGGATGTCTTAATTACCTTGTTTTCAATGAATGTCTCTTCGCGACGCCGTTCCTTTTATATGCCCTCTCACAAAGCGCTTTCGGATCGTATTGCTCTCCCGGAGTTAAGCGGAAACCGCAAACTGGACACTTATGCAACGCTATTGTGACTTTCGACAGGGCGCAAGAAGAACAATGGGCGCTTTACCGAATCGATCTTGCGGGCGCATAGATTAGGGCGCTTTAAAATTATTTCCAGTACCACTTGTGGGCGCAATAGTATGGCGCTTTGCAACAAGTTCCGAAACACTTAGAAGGCGCGATGGTGGGGCGCTTTACGGTGAACATTAATACGATATTTTAAGGCGCGAAAGTAGGGCGCTTTACGGTACACATACTACGATCCTATGGCGCAAAAGGAGGGCTCTTTAAAATCATTTCCCTGGGCGTGTGGGATAACGCGCTTGCAGTAATAATAACTCCCATCACAACTTGATCCATCTTACCCTCAACTTCGGGCCAAAATGTGAGCGTGCCTCTCCTTGCTGCCAACACGTTACTCGGACGCCACCCCTGCTTCCGTCCCATGGTACACCTTGAGGTTCTGTGCGTTCCATGTGCGCTTGATGGCCTTTCCTCCTAGGCGTTCCAGTTTGAACGTGGCTGGTCCCACCATTTCCCGAACACGGTATGGTCCCTTCCATTTGGGAGCCAGTTTCCCCTCGCACGGTTTTGGTCGGAAGTCGCGCCGCAACACCAAGCTTCCCTGACGTATCTGATGGGGACGCATCTTACGATTGTAGTACTTGGCTACTTGCTGCTTCATGGCCTCGAGCCTTATGGAGGCGATAACCCTGCGCTCCTCCAGCATGTCCAAGTCGTGCACGCGCTCCTCCCCATTGGCTGACTCCTCATATTCCGCCACGCGATGCGTTGGGAAACGCATCTCCACCGAGATCACTGCTTCACTACCGTAAGTCAAAGCAAACGGCGTCTCGCCCGTCGCCACCTTATGCGTTGTTCTGTGCGCCCAAAGCACACCCGGGAGCTCCTCCACCCACTTTCCCTTGGCGTCCAGCAACCTCGTATGAAGCCCGTGCAAGATGCTCTTGTTAGCCGCCTCAACCTGCCCGTTGGCCTGGGGGTAGGCCACCGAAGAGAAGCGCCTTCCCTCCTCCAGCTTCTGCCTCAGGTCAATCGTTCCGGAAATGGCTTCGATGGTCAACCTCACCCGGGTGGGGTTAGCTTCAGGTTCGACCTCGAAGGGGGGAGGCGGAAGTCGCTCGCCTTCCCCTGGTGCCTCACTCAGGGCGTGCTCATCTGCTCCCTCTCGGTTGCCCTCTCGCGGCGGGGCCGCCTTCTCCTCCTGCGCCATAAAAGTGCGATGTGCCTTCTCCTCCCCTTTCCTCACGAATTCATTCAACATTCCCCTGTCAACTAGCCCCTGTATCTCCGACTTGAGCTGATAGTAGTCGGCTGTGTGGTGCCCCCTCTCGCGGTGGAATTCGCAGTACCTATCCAAGTTTTGCTCATTCGGGCACCCCCGCATGGGTCCCGGCCAGCGGAGGTGATACCCTTTATCCCTTGCATACTGCAGGACATTCTTCAAAGAGTCGTTGAGCTCGGTGAAGTTTGACGCACTCCTGGGAGGGAAGCGTGGTGGTTCGGGCCGTCGGACGCCCTGAGGGTAGTTCTGGGTCATCTGCGGGGCGTGGGGTGGCCGAGGGACCCGGGACGCCTCCTCCTCTCCGGGGAACGTCTCCCTTCGTTCCATCCTCCTTGCGGCCAACGTTTCCTCAAGCATAATGACTTTCTGCACTCGGCGGTCCAAGTCTTCCGTTGACACGACATCACGCTTCGTTAGGGCCCGGCACAGCTCCTCACTGTTGGTGCATTCGTCTAAGCAGCACCCCAGGACCGGCGGCTTGACGTCCTTGACCGCCATCGCGACCGACATCCATCGCTCATAGAAGTCCCGAAGCGCCTCCCATTTGCGCTGCCTGACCTTAAACAGCGCACTGATCGTCAAGCTCCTGCGCTTCCGGCTGGCGAACTTTGAGAGAAACATGGCTGCGAATTGCTCAAAGCTGTCGATCCTCCCTTCCTCGATCTGGTGGTACCAATCCAGCACTACGCCCACGAAGGTTGATGGGAATGCGCGGCACAACGTGGCGTCCGAGCTGTTGTATAGCTGCATTTTGGTGAAGTAGTTGTTCAGGTGATCCTCCGGGTCGGACGTGCCGTCGTAACTGGGAAGTGCTGGAATGACGGAGTTGGCTTGTTCCGCCAAGATGCTCCGCGCAAGCGGCTGCCTTACCCTCCAAGGGCGCCCTAGGCGCCTGGGCGCCCATCTGGTTGGCTCTTCGAGGTCTGGCGCTCCGTGACGCGCCCAGTGTCCCGCTTCCTCAGTGCGCCTTAACGCACTTGACATTCCTTCCTCATCTTCATCTCTCTCTCTCTCTTCCTTCCGCTGAGGGGAGGCGCGGCGTCCCCTCCTTTCTTGAGAGCTTCCACCTCCCTTCTCAATACCTCTAGCGCCTGGGTTTGCTCCTCTATGATGCTGATCAAATGCTCCTTGGTCAGTGTGACGCCCTCTGATTGGGTCGTCTCCTGCGCTTCGTCTTCCCCTCCTTGCGCCTCCTCAGACACATGAGGCGCCCCCTCCGAGACCGCCTCGTTGAGGGCGCGATTCCTTTCCCCTGCCGTTTCTGCCGCCTCCTCCATGAGTCTCTCTTCTCCCTGTCTTTTTTTCTTTTCTAGTTATACTCCCCTACCTGGCGCGCCAATTGTTTGTGCCACGTAACCTTCCGCCCTCAAAGATCTCCGCGCGCCTCTAGCCTCACGCCCTGCAAATCCCACGAACTCCTTCCACTTCCTTCGCGCCTTGACCACACGCTCGTCCCCTGCACACAGCAGCGCGCACCGAGCCCCTTAGCAAGGGCTCGTTAGCACTCCGACGCCCAAGTTAGAACAGATTCTAGATAGAGAAGTGAGATGTAAGCTTTTAGAGAGAAGTTGGAACCTGAGTAAATGAGCTTAGGGATGGCAATCAAACCCATGGCCGCGGGTACCCTACCCAGTCAACGCGGGGAATCCCCGCTTTGACCGGGTATGGGGCGGGTATGGGTAAAACCCGCAAAAGGTTTGATGGGTATGGGGCGGGTATGGTTTTAGCCTCCCCCGCCCCATACCCATACCCATACCCGCCCCACCAAGAGAATTTCTTCACATATCAAAAAATATGTGGATTAAATTGTAATCTATCAATGATGATGATGATAACTTGAGAAAATAAATAGTAGAAATGCAATTGAGTAACCACCTTAATCAAAACCTAATTCATTTCCCTCAATTCTCCTTCCACTCTTTCACTTTCCCCCTTGTCAACAAGATTATGTTAGTTAATTATTACTTAGTAAATGTATCAAGAGTTAGAGCATAATAATTTAAAAAATATTGTAGTTTATATTATGTATTAATGGATGTTTTAGGATCATATTCTTTGAATCGTATTTAGAAAATGACCGTGTTTTGTTGACTTCATGATATTATAGGTTTGTTTATGGTTATAATCAAAAAATTTCTTGTAAGTTTTAGGTATAATAATGTTGGATGTATGGGGATGGGTATTACCCATGGGTACCCGAAACCCACGGGTATGGGGATGGGTTTGCAAAACATTCCTCCGCATGGGGTATGGGGCGGGTATGGGTTTGGGTATTTGAAGATGGGGATGGGGATGGTTTAGGCAAACCCGTCCCAAACTCGCCTCATTGCCATCCCTAAATGAGCTCCACCCACTTCACTATTTATACTCGGGGCGGGATCGACCAGTACCCCCCAAATCCGCCCTACGTCATCACCTCATTAAATGCACTGTACATTTCTCTCTCCAGGCGCCCCGACATTCTGACACCAATCTGCCCTCACAAGGCGCACGACCCCACCCCTTGTCTCCTCCGTACGCTTCCGATCGTTGCCCCCCTTTTGTCGTTATGCGCCCTACCTTAGACCCAGTCCCCCTGCTTGGGCCTTGGCCTCTGGGCCTTTCTTGGGCCGGGTCTCCCCCCTTGCTAGGCCCATGCTTCCAGCCCAGGCTGACACCTTGGCCCCTTACTTGGGCCTTATCTCATATGCCCCCAACATAAATATTTTACCAAAAAATCCACGGATACCCAGCGGGTTTTGGGTTGGGTTTGAGTTCTTCAAACCCAACAGGTTTTACCCCGGATTTTTTTGGCGGATAAACCCATGGGTTTGGGTTTGACAAAACCCGCCCCAACCCGACCCATTGTCATCCCTAACAAACGCTCCTTAGGCTTCAGCCCAAGGATCCAAATCCCATTAAATTATAACAAATTAATCAACGACCAGCCTTCCAATAGGCCCGGAGCTAAATTTGATTTAAGCAATAATGTTCACTCAACAATCAACATCGCATTCATCAGATTCAGTTTAAATGAAGCAATAATGTTCAGCATCACACTCATCATATTCAGCCATGGACCTGGAAGACAAGACGAGATTCAAGAGTTACAGCACAAAAGAATGTGATTAAGCAAATGGCTGATTAGGCAAAAAAAAAATCGTTATTCCTGAGACTTTGGTCATCAAAACCAAGTACTTCATCGAAGGTTTCCCTTCGAGTCTGATATAACTAGAACTGTTCTACTTTCCTATTCCATTAGCTCCTTTCTTCTTATATCCACACTTCTACAATTCCTCATTTGCATGTCCCATCTTCAACTAGTTCTCCTTCTCTAGCCAGCCATCTGCAGTCTACCTGCATTGAAGATATGTTAAAAGCAACATGGCCAAAAACAGGTTCCATGTGGGAAACACGATTTTTCTATATTATTATTATAATCATTATTAGGATAATTCTTATTATGGTTAGTAGTCTTCTAGTAGAATTAGGTTTATTCTTAGGGTTTTCTAGTATTTCCCTATATATATGTACTTTGGGTCATTCGTCAGATTAGGCAGAAATTAATAAGAAAAGTCATCTCCCCAAATCCCTAATCTTCTCTCAATCTCGTCTATCTTTCTCTCTAAAGGCTTCGGCCATTCTATCTCTGTTCTTCCCCAAATTCTCTTCTCAAATCCCTAAATCCCCAATTCTGTTCTATAAACCCTAAATTCTCAATCTCTAGATCTGATCTGGAGACCCGTAGGAAACTTGTTTCCTACATCTGGTATCAGAGCGCGGTTCGAGAATTGAGTTCACCACAACTCTCAACCGGGGACGAGTTCTACAACTGTTTCGACGATGAGCTCTTCAAAGCTCTCGAACCTGTCGTGGGCAGAGCTGCGTGACCGGGCTCGCCGCATCGGACGCCGTTGGAGCTCCAAAGAGTCACCAACCGTTGCTGCCTCGTCTTCACTTTCGAGAACCATTGAGGCCATGACGCCACCTGTGACGGAATCACAGACAACCACTCTTGTTGTCGTGCCGCAAGAGCCAGAACAACGAGACGAAATGCCACCAACAGACCAAGGGGCAAGTTCGCCATTGCCCATCACGGCCGGGACGCGAGAAATCAGGAGTGCCAAGAACCGCTCGAAGCTGGTGGAGCTCCACTCCCGCATCGATCGACAGCGTTCGACGAAGAAGAGGATGGCGGCTTCTCTCACGGGGAACGTCAAGGAGAAGAAGCCAGGACCGAGCGGGGCTCGTTGCCGCCAGGTGCGTTGTTCGTTACCGGAGAAGAAGACAAGCACGGCGGCGCTGGGCACGGCGGCGCTAGGATCTCCACCCATTCGCCTGGTGGTTCGGCCATGGCAGGAGGAAGGGGTGGTGAGGAGGAGTGGTGGCGACCGTCGAGTAGCCGGAGTCGGGCTTGGCCCTGGCCGACAGGAGAAGAGCTCACCGCCGGAGATGGTGGCGTTGGAGAGAGAGACGGAGAAGGAAGGCGGCGGGAGCTTTCTTCTCGCAAACCCTAGAAGCAGCAGAGTGCAACAACAACAGCCCTTAACTTTGGGCCAAGCGACTGGGCCAGAGCGTGCTGATGAGCCAACGGGAGTGGGCTGGCCGGATCAACAGAGTGGTCCAAATTTTGGGCACGGGAAAAGCTGGTTGGTTCGCGAGGTATACTTCGTTGGGCTTGTTTCGGTCCAATCGGGTTATCAGAGCAACTTGCGGTTTAGGCAGGAATGGGTCTTGCTTGGGCTCTTGATGGGCCGAAAGGAAATGCAAGGGAGGCTGTCTTTGGGCCGACCCGTCGAGGGCAGGCCTGTTCACTGGAGACGGATGGGCTTCATGGAGCCTGGAAATTTGGAACAGGACAAGGAAGAAGTCTCCTTGGGCCGAGCACCACAGCAGCAGCGAATTGGGCCAGGAGAAGTCATGGAAGACAGAGTTGCTGGTGGGGAATTTGTTCGAGTTCTTGAACCAGATTGGAAAAAAAGGAAGCGCAAGACGCGAAGGAGTAGACACGCGAATCACTCAATTAAGGCAGGAAAACGGATCAAGTCAGTCAACCTTGAGGGCAAGGTTGGTCTGAAGGGGGAGGAGATGTGGGAAACACGATTTTTCTATATTATTATTATAATCATTATTAGGATAATTCTTATTATGGTTAGTAGTCTTCTAGTAGAATTAGGTTTATTCTTAGGGTTTTCTAGTATTTCCCTATATATATGTACTTTGGGTCATTCGTCAGATTAGGCAGAAATTAATAAGAAAAGTCATCTCCCCAAATCCCTAATCTTCTCTCAATCTCGTCTATCTTTCTCTCTAAAGGCTTCGGCCATTCTATCTCTGTTCTTCCCCAAATTCTCTTCTCAAATCCCTAAATCCCCAATTCTGTTCTATAAACCCTAAATTCTCAATCTCTAGATCTGATCTGGAGACCCGTAGGAAACTTGTTTCCTACATTCCAGCATCCTTTCAGGGATTCGGATTGGAAGTAGCTCAATCGGCATGGTAATTACTAACTATGGAGCAGGGCTCATCATTCGACACAAATCAAGCTGCTATCACATCCCGCATACATGCATAGTAGAGTGATACTCTATAGCCTCCATCAAAACTAGTTGCAGATGAGACCTCATATAATAAACGTGGTTGATTCAGCCAAAAAGAGACCCTCTTAACTGTATGTATCCACATAAAACAGAAATTTGCCAACTCCTTGCCCAGCTACCAACTTGGCCTAGATTCAACGAAGCACAAGATCGGACAGATACTAACTGGACGGCCAATCATTCAAATTACACATGGTAATCAGTTGTAGAGACTCACAAGCTCTTCCATGCTTCATAGGTTAGAAACCGCTAAAAAGTAAACCAGGTTCATAAGAACAATAATTCTCTTACCCCAGACGTCACAAGAAACCAGATCCCAATTTTATTAGAGCAGAGCCTACATAAGAAAGTAATATAATGCTGCTTATGGACTAATCACATGCTCATAAGTGAAGCTGTAGGTGCCTCAACATGGAAAAGAGCTTCAGCTTCAGTCTCGTTAAGTCTCAAGTAGCACATAGTCTACAATTATACCGGCAACCCCACTAAATGCTCGAGGAAATATCCCAGTACCAACCAACTAGGTGCAACTATTTATGACTTGACTTCTACATAATGCAGCCAGCTCTTTTCATGTTCCTAAGTGGCATAAAATACAAAAATGAGAATCTGCAACATGCTCATCTAAAACAGACAAGGCAGTTGCTATAATTGTGATATTTTCTTAAATATAAGTATAATGGACCACAGCAAGCTTAATTCTTTCCTTACTTCTATATACTAGCATGAAGAGCCAATGTTAGAGTGAAGTAAAGGCAACACACAACCTATTTGCAGCTGGATAAAGGAAAAAAGTGTATGTAAATCAATACCATTTGTTAAATGTTTGTATCCTGCAACAGAACATTTGAACTCTTCACAGTGCTCTCAACACCAGGACCAGCAACATCTCCTTTCCTTACCCAAACTCCAAGCTCGCAATCTCCATTATAACCTCGCATCCTTCCATTCTGATAAACTCTACCACCGCGAACATTCCCCCTTCCTCTCGAACCATTAAATCTCCTATAGCTTCTTTCTTTACACTCATCATTCTGACGTTCAGAGCGATTCAATCTTCCACGACCTCTACCATGCTTCACCTCACTAACACCATTCTTAGTCTCACACTCACCATTCTCTTCTTCAATTAATAGCTCCTCTAAGTTTCCCTCGATCTCCAGTTTACTTTCCTCTTGCTCCACATTTTTGCCAACCTTCCTTCGAAACTCCACATTCACCTTGCTCTTTCTCTGAGGCTTCCTAGATGGAAAATTCTGATCCCCATCAGTAATGCCATTCTTAGTCTCAAAACCACCACTCTCTTCTTCGATTGAAAGCTCCCCCAAATTTCCTTTGAAGTCCAGTTCACTTCCCTCTTTCTCCGCATTATTGCCAAGCTTCCTTCCAAACTTCTTATCCACCTTGCTATTTCTCTGGGGTTTCCTAGAAGGAATACTCTCATTCCCAATCTCTGCTCCTTTACTAATTTGCTTCTCAACATTCTTAGTCTCAAACCCACCATTCTCCTCTGCAATTGAAAGCTCGTTCAACTCCTCCTCAATCTTCACTTTACTTCCCTCTTTCTCCACATCGCCAAACTTCCCTCGGAACTCCATATTCACCTTGTACTTTGTCTGGGGTTTCCTACATGGAACACTCCCATTCCCAGTCTCTGCTCCTGTTTTACTAATGTCCTTCTCGACAATATAACTAGCGCCATTCCTAGTTTCAAACCCACTACCACTCTCTTCTTCCATTGTAAGCTCACCCAACTTCTCATCGATTTCCAGTTTAGTTCCCTTTTTCTCTAAATTACCAATCTTCCCCTTGTTCCTTCTCTGGGGTTTCCTAGGCGTAACACTCTTCCCATTTCCATTCTCCGAACCTCTTTTACTGGTTTGCTTCTCGACATTATCATGTTTCCGTTGAGAATCCATCATAACTTCCATACTCTCACTCCGTATACTCACAGCCTCGGATACCACTGGTTGCTTACCTGCTTCCTTAACCTTCTGCTTCTCCCTCGCCCTCTTAGCCGCCTTGAGCTCCTTCTTTCTTCTGTACCGCTCTTCCTTAAGCTTGATGGCTTCATCGTCTTCGTTTCCGTCATCAACGGCCTGAGCGCGAGCCTCCGTTGCCAAGTTCCCCGGCGTCCCCCGGAATCGATTTTGGCGCCACTGACTGGATGTTCCGGAATTCCGTACCGCCTCCGACTTTGCGTGCTCCTTCGCCTCTTTGGCCCTCCACAATCGTTCCTCATCCTCGTCATCTTTGTCTCCATCATCAACGACCTCAGCGAAACCCACCGTCGCCACCACGTTGCCCTGCGTCCTCCGGTTTCGATTTTGGCGCGAGCGACTCGAGGTTCCGAAATTCTGCCGCACAACCTCCGAGCCCGAGAGCTCCTTCGCCTCAGTGAGCTTCCGCCGTCGCTCATTTTCCTCCTTAGCCTCTACGAGCTTCCGGCGTCGCTCCTCCTCCTCCCGTTCCTGCTGCTGCTGCCTCCGAATCCTCTCTTCTTCCTCCTCCGCTTTCTTCTTCAGCCATCGCTCTTTGAGCTGGACGAGAGTGACGAAATTGGGTGGATTCTGTGACTGCTTCTTCGCGGTGTCCCCTGGTTCCGCCATTGAGAGAGGTCGCCGATCACAGAAACGACAGTAGCCGGATGGAAAATTATGTTGTGTGGATGTGGGGTTGTTCTCTCTCACTCTCCCTCTCGCCTTCTTCTACTTGGCCGGGAAGGAGATGGTGGGGTCCGTGCGGAATCGCAGCGTTTTGGTCTTTTGGACTTTTGGAATTTTGTGTAGGAAACCGTTTTCATGGGATTTTGCTATTATTTTATGGACTCACCATATGGACTACGATGCAAAGCAATGCCACCCTGAGCTGAGGGCGACTACTGATCTGGCGGTCAGAGAGACAGGTGATCATAAAAATGGTGAGATTCGAGTTCTCTGAATTCGACCTGTCATTTGCTTTCTCGCCTAGCAGAAGATGATAGTCGTACTATCTAAAAATTCAAACTGAAAACCTATAAACAAGGATTAAAATGATAAAACCTATAAACAAGGATTAAAAATGATATTTATTACGTTAATATTATATATGGATGACCAATGACTTACCACATTATATGTTCACTTGTGAGCAAGGTTGTCAACCCGCGGGTCGATTCGCGGGTTGACCCACTTTGACCTTGACCCGGTGAGAAAAACGGGCCGCACGCACCCGCCGGGTCGACCGCTACAAGGTACCGTATTGAAGGTCAAATTGTGTCATTTTTTTCTTTGTTTTGCGAAATGCGCCTATTTTCCGATTTTTCTTTTCGCCTAACTCAAAATCTTTGGAATCCTAAGTTGAACATTTGAATATTAATGTTATATAAGTGTGTGTGAATTTTCACTATATGTTGAATCTAAGTACGAAATGTTATTTTGGTGTAATATTATATGTTATAACTCATATGTTAGATGAGATTTGATATAATTTATCAGGATAAGTATAATATAATGACTTTTTCCATATTTCCGGGCTAAACCGGGTGACCCATTAACCCTTGACCCACTAGCTCAACCGGGTCCGGGTCAACCCCCGGGTTGACAACCTTGCTTGTGAGTTACATGTAACTCATATTTCTACATCATTATCTCTCATTCATATGCATTGATATAAGGATGTAGTGGTTACCAAAGTGTGCCTATAAATAGAGCACACCATTGTATCAAAAGAAAATAATGAATAAGAAGAACTATTCCCCTGTCTTTCCCTCTCTAATCTTCTCTTGTGGTTGTTTATATTTTCTATTACTTTCATAACACGTTATCAGCACGAAGCTCTGCCAAAATTATCATTGGTCAAATACTCTCGACATAATCTAAGATATTGGAGTAAGATCACAATATGATCAAAGTATGTAAATCTCATCTCCTTTCTTATCTTATTGTCTTATTTGTGTTGAGATTATCTCATTCTAATATATCAAGATGGGTGCTACACTTTTCTCATAGTAGACCATCCATTGATATTTTATCACATACATCTATTTATATTAACAAGAAAAGTAATATAAGTGATGAGTTAATTTCTTGGTTCTCCTTGTTATCCTATTCTTATCAATCATATATTGATATGTAAAAAATGCAAGTTCCAAGAGCCCATATATTCCCCAGAAGTGGAAATTGAAGAATCCAAGGGCAAAGAAAGAAATTGGCATGGTAACAAGAATATTAGTTATGTATGTTACCATTGTAATGGAAAAATGCGTTTGTCTCGTACGCGTTGTACGCAAAAGACCTTATTCTACCAAGAATCAAAGGGAAAAGCTAATTCATATACGAGTTTTTTTCAGAAATAGCACCTTTAAAAAAAATTACAAAACTAGCACCCGCCCAAAAATATTTACAAAACTAGCACCCTTTTTTATTGACCGCACCCTCCAGGTGCGGTCAATACTGGTGGGCCTAAACCGCACCTGGGCCATGCGTTTTCATGTCTGGCCTACATGAAACGCATGGCCGAGGTGCGGTTTAGGCCTGACTTACCTAAACCGCACCTTAGGGATGCGGTTTCTGCCTCCAAGAACAAACCGCATCTCTAAGGTGCGGTTTGGCCATGTAGACCGCACCCCCCAGATGCGGTTTACATGTCAATAATTTTCCGACAATGGACACAGCATGCAGAGAATTATGGACGTAGGGCTGCATGGCAGACTAAAACCGCACCCTAGAGGTGCGGTTTTCAGAATTTTTTTCCCTATATAAGACTTGCCGGAAAACCTCTACTCTTCACACCTCTCATTCTCTCTTTCATTTTTCTGTTGTATATCTATATTTATTTAGTGTGTTTGCCATTAAGATTAACTCGTAAGTTTATTTTGTGTTACTTTTTATGCCATTAAGATTAACTCGTAAGTTTATTTTGTGTTACTTTTTATGCCATTAACATTAACTCGTAACTTTAATTTGTGTTACTTTTTATGCCATTAACATTAACTCGTAAGTTTATTTTGTGTTACTTTTTATTGTTATTTGTGATTTGTGATTTTTATGATATTAACTAAAGTACGGTTTGTTTGTGTGTAGATGGCATTCCGTCAGTTAACGCTTGGCTTACGGTGGAATGGTTACACGGAAGAGACCGGAAAGGGGGCCACCTACGTCGGTGGCAATTTTCAGAAAATAACGGTCGGTACCAGACCGAAGCTTGAAGACCTCCATCAAATATGCACTGACGCAACTTGCATGAATGGCACGAGGAGGGTAGATCGTATGGTGTACCGATACCCAAACAGAGCAACTGGGTCATTGTGGCATGAGGAATATACCATAACCACTCAAGATGACCTAGATTACATGCTCGAATTCTTGAGGTCCAACAAATTGGCCAAAGCCGAGATGTTCGTTTACACCGAGCCAGCCGTTGGTGTTGGACGTCATTCTGGACACGGTCAAACATCTGGTATCCATGGTGGAGGTGAATTATATGAAGATCATCCCTACCAAAGTTACCATGATCCTCAATCCTATTTTCAGTACCAAGATGGAGGGCAAGGTGCTGGCCATCATCAATCTTTCTCGTCATATGAAGAAGAAGTTCAACCGGACATCCCCAACCAAGCCCAGTACAACTTCCTGACAGGCAGCGGTAGTTTTCACAACTACCATTATGGAGCTGATGAAGGTGCCTTTCATGAGCAGGATCAGATGGATTCTGACACACCAGCACCAGTCAGCGACCCCTCTGATGAAGAAGGAGAGAACAACGTCAGTGCAGACAGCTCAGACCCTCTTGAAGGTGCTGATGATTCAGCACCAGATTCAGATTCAGATAATGATCATGATGTGGCTCCTGACCGTGTACCAGTCCCCTACTACAATCACATTCCAGACGACAATTGGATGGTCGACAGCGACATGGAGCCGCCAGAGGTCCCAATATGGGGCCCACTCACTGGGTTTACGAAGGGCCAACAATTTGGCTCGAAGAAGGATGTGCGGCACGCCCTTGAGACTGAAGCAATGACTCGGCATTTTGAATGGCACACAACTCATTCCAACACCAAAAGGCTCATAGTCAGATGCCGTAATCATCACGAGGGGTGCAATGTTAGGATTCGGGCCATCAACAGCAAGAGACACGGCCACTGGGTCATATCCTGTGCGGTCAACACACACACATGTGTGTCATCCATCACTTCCCAAGGCCATCGACAGTTGAAATCCAGGGTGGTTGCTGCGGCTATCAAGCATCTGATTGAGGCTGAACCGGATTTGAAGGTGAAAGTCATAATCGCTGACATTGCAAGTCGTTTTGGTTATATGATTAACTATAAGAAGGCGTGGCATGGAAAGCAGAAAGCTATGGCCGCCGTCTATGGTGATTGGGAAGAATCATATGCATTCCTTCCCAGACTAATACTGGCATTGGTGGCATGCGATCGGTCGCATCAACGCAACCCTTCACCGGTACTTTCACTCCCAAATGACTGTGGATGAAATGCTGCCAACCTGGCATACCGTCACAATCCTCGGGGGGATGATCACTCACGCACACCGGTTTGCCGTCGATGGGCAGATGGGTTAGGATGGCGACATCCTTTAGCGTGATGGTGGCCTCTCCTTCTCTAAAGTTGAAACAATGGGTCTCCTTTCTCCATCTCTCGGCTAATGCGGTGATGAGTTGGCGATCGATTTGGATACCGTTAAAATGCCTAATCGAGTCTAACCGTGCCCTTTTGAGAAATGGCAAGATAGCTGGGTGGAACGGGAGCACATTGGTGGTACCCCTATAGCGGATTATTGTTTGTGAGTCCTAGCAAAAATGTACACGTTAATTATTATTAGTAAGGGTTTTTTTTCGTATAACTAAATTAATTAAATTAAATTATGCGACATAAAACATAATTTTATTATCATAAAAAGACATTTCATATTATCATAAAACAAACGTCCTAAATTAATTAACATAATAACATTGTCAATGAATAATAATTTAAAGAGGTACATACATATTATCGTAAAACAAACATACTAAATTAATTAACATAAATAACATTGTCAATGAATACTAATTTAAAGAGGTACATACATATTATCGTAAAACCAACATACTAAATTAATTAACATAAATAACATTGTTAATGAATAATAATTTAAGTAGAAACATACATATTCAAATGTTTGGTAAATAATTTAATCGTATTAGTTGTTTTAAATAATTTAATCGAATACAAAGCAACACTCGTTAGACTCTTAGAAGAGGTATACATCTTCTTAGAAACGCAGTCTTTTTGACAGAAAAAGGGGGGATCCGAGGATCTCTTAATACCCGATTTTCCCAGGTAATGGGAGGATATGATAATCGCTTAAAACCCCATTTCCTTAGACGTGCATCTCTTTATAAAGAGTCGAAGTAAGTGGCGCTATGTATTCGATTAAATTATTGAAAACAACCAACATGATTAAAAAATAAACATAAATTAATTTTATATTACACTAGGCACATTAACAAAATAAAAGAAGGACAAATGGTGAAGAATTGTATGTACCGAGTGATCATTCCAAACATCCCTTGACCGATGGTTGGGTTGGTCGTACAAGTCGGTTGGATCCACCGGTCCTTGCTCGAGATAATACCGTTGGTTGTATATATCGACGTCCTCCCCAACCTACGAGAAAATAACAACGAGGTTAGTACATAGATTAATTAAAAAACTTATAACAACAACAAAAATT